AATGAAGTGCCCGAAATCCGGGACTTTTACCGACCATTGTGTTAGGTGATGCAATTCCCAAGCGGAGTTCAGATTTTCAGAAAATCACACAATTCTGATTTTGATTCAAGGTGTCTATGTCACACTCAAACTACAGTTCCAGAGAATACGCTCCGCTTGCTTGGCGTTATTTTTCGAGATTTTACTACGATTAATTTCCAGGCTTAAGACATTGCGTAATATTATATTGAAACAACTTGTGTTTTTCAATAAATTACTTAATGTCTCGCTCTCGACCATTAAACCACACATAATTCCAAAACAACACCCAATAACTCCAGAATTCAGACTTTGAAACCACAAATTAATTTAGTTAAAGGGGTGTCACTAGGGACATAACTCGTGTATGTTATTTGTGTTGATCAGAACATAACGTACGCTTTCATTGTTTTTTGGAGCAGAATCGCATAAACTCGCATAAATTACATCACCCTCCCACCTGGTTTTGCCATTTCATACCAGGAAAGGCAGTTAAGTTTAATCGGCTCGGACCATAAGGCTCATTCGGTCCATTATTTGAATGAAAATATTTAAAAATATACATGCTTCTTAATATGACAAAAATTGCACTAAATAGAAAATTAGTAATTGATTACTTCAATAACAATGAGCTAAATCAAGGAAAATGTCCTTTAAATGCGATTGGCGATTTCTTAATATCCCAGTTCACCCAAACTAAACCAATAACCCAATGGTACGCAATATTTCTACATACTACCCAATATTATCAAATGATCACCAAATCAGTGGCTGGTGGATGGAGGGAGAAAGATAGGGCGAAAGCCCCTCGTGAGCGCCAAAGGGGGAATGGGTGGGCCAATAACACGATAACAAATATCTGCATCAGTATAACTGCAACGCACAACTCAATATCATTAAATAGTGGCATACCAGTGTATTTACTGCAACGTATCTGCGACAATTTGCAATAAATGAAGTATAAATAAGGAAAGCAAATTGTTCTTTGTATAATATTTTAATCATTAAATAACCTGTTATGGGTGCGAAATGAATTAATTCTTAAAATGTGTACCGTTTTTTTTATATAAGATGGCCATCAATTTAGGTGTTATTATATATTATACATTACATAACATAAAAGTAGTATACTAAATTAAGATATGGAAATTGAGCCTAGTTCGTGTGAAACAGAAAAGAATAATTCGCAGCTGAAATTTTTAGAGATCTGTAGGCCTAAGTCTTTGAACACGCTGGACTCCAATATTGCTATCTGTGAAATTGTTATCTCAAATTAACATGAAGCCTCGTCTCAATAATTGTCACTGGACTAAACATGAATTTCAGAAGCTTAATTTAAGCAGCAGCTCTTTTTACGTCTACCGCCAGTTTGTTCACAGCAAAATTACAGATTCAGTAAAAACAATGATGGTGAATTATGTTATTTGTAAACGATTTCTAACTACATTTGTTGATTAAGAAACAATATATGATCAGTTGGCCCACATTAAACAATATTTTAAAATATGTTGGTATAGATAAATAAATATTAAACACCACCCCCACTTGTTTGTATATCATAAATTTCGAAATGATTTTGTCCCATTCAAATTACCATAAAGTGGTTTGTTCCAAATTTAGGGAAAAGGGAAATTTAAAATTTTGACCTGTAGCATTACGACTGACGGGCATAATCTCCATTCAAATTCCCTTAACGCTTTATGTTCCAAGTTTAGGAAAATGGAAAATTTAGAGTTTTGTTCTGTAACATGAAATATGGGCGTATAAAAAAAGTAATTATTGTTTAATATAGGCGTATAAAAAAAACCTAAAAAATGTATAATAAATAATTAGGGGAAAGGATTTTCGCAAGTGCCCTATTCAACTGGAAGTGTTTAATCACTATTGATCTTACATATACATTGTATAATACATAATCATGCATATAATATAAATGAACAATTATAACAGTAGACATCAGTCCTACAACTTCATAAGAAAAATACTATTTTGGCAATAACAAGATTATAATTTGTCTTTAACATAAGATATTTTGTTATACATATAAATAATAATAATTAAAAAAATTTTAACGGAAAATACGAATACAAATCAAAAGGTCTTATCTATAAGTATATAATTGATGAAGAAATAATATTCTCTATTTCAAATGATGAATTATTTGAATTTTGACCTAGTTCTATGTCCTTATTATGTTACTCAAAGACAACTGACTATAATATAACCATGTGAATATTTATATTGATCTTTGTAGGCTTTTCTGACAATCTCTAATGTCTGGTATTATCATATTATATACTCATTTGAAACAAAGATGTAGTTATGGGTGGTCAATATTGAGAGCTGGCTACCCAATTCTAACTCCTATTTAGGAAAAGGGGTAGGGTCTGGTAGAATTTCCCCTAAGTGCCCTGATCAACTGCAAGTGTTTACTCATTATTGACAGCATATAATATAAATGAACAATTTTTAACAGTAGACATCAGTCCTACAAATTCATTAGAAAAATATTATTTTGGCAATAACAAGATTATAATTTGTCTAACTTAACATAAGATATTTTATTATAAATAACAAACCAGCGGCCGCCAGGCAGGATACCCCGCCATTTTGCAAGAAATGGATAGAGAACAAGCTAAAAACAAAAACGATTTTTTGTACAATCAGGGGCCATAATCCAGAAAGTTATGGTCTGAAATGCGCAAATATCAAAAGGGACTGGGATGTTTGGAATATAAAGATATGTTTTAAGTTTCATCAAAATTGGATAAAAATTGTGGCCTCTAAAGGGTCCATAACCTTTGTATTACATACTTATACACAATTTGCGTACAAAGAGCAGCCATTTTGTCGGGCAGTGTCATTTCTATGTGGAATGGTGATATATCTAAACGGTTTTTTAAAATCGGATAAAAAATGTGACCTCTAGAGAATCCACAAGCTAAAAATGCGATTTTTCGACCAATCACCCAACCCAAGCCTTTCAAATAACCGAATGCTACGCAATATTACCATACCCAGTATTATCAGATGTGCACCCAATATCTTCAAATACCGGTATAATTACTGCAACGAATAACCTCATATCAAATAGCTGCATATCAGTATATATATATAGTCTTCAAAAAAAGTAGGGGATATCCAGAAACAATACAAAACTGCGGAAATGCACTGCTGTTTTTATTAGAGGTAACCAGTGTATGTTAATAACAGGCCAATTGCCTACACATGAACATAAACAGTTCATATGTGCAGCTTATCTGACGGTCCCATTTCACTCGCAAAGAGATACACCGTCAAAAGTGAAAATGGACGTTTTTGATTTTTGTCTTAATAATGAGTAATTGCTCCATCAATCCTCAGACATTCAGCAGTTCGTCGTGGCATGCTCCTAATCAACCGTCCAATCACGATTTGGGGTAATCTGACCCACTCCCCTTGCAGTGCCATGGCCAATTCTTGCAGTATTGTCTGTTGACGTTGACGTCGACGAACACGTCTCCCGATGAAAATAAACGTAATACATTAAAGCAAAGATACGCTAAACAGTAAATCTTATGCAAGAACCGATAGGAATGCTAACATGGATAGATAAACCAGCACGCGGCAGTTTTCACCAAGCCTTCCTTGAAGTGTCAAATTTGACAATGAACCCCTCCCACGTGTATGGCGCTGTTGCGTGTCGCATGTGCAGCTCAGTGGTTCTGTGAACATACTCTCAAAGCATGTCAAATGTCCATGACTATTTATCATATCACAATCTGCATAGGTGTTTGCATTTCAATATCCCCTACTTTTTTTGAAAAGTATAATTATTATAATAACTGCAACGCTGAACCCTATCATCGAATAGCGCGGCATATAAGAGAGGGAGCCCAGGGGGTTAACCTAGCTGAAAAGTGTACCAATTTTCTCCTATATGGTATCAATGATGCATGTATATCTGGTATCATCAGAATGTAAGTCTGTCGGGTTTCTGGTGGTGGGTGTGGTATTCCACGCCCAAAATGCCATGCCCCCCAACTAGGCTAGATTAGCTCAAAAGTGTACCACATGAAAATCGTACAGCAGTGTACCGTACATCTTCAGGTGTTACAAAAACACTCTAACAGACATTTCTAGTGGTGGGTTACCTCTGACAGAGCTATGTAATTGTCAGACATTAAATTTTGTAGTGGTAGAGTATCCCTGACAAGAGTTTTCTAATTTCCAGACCGCAGCTAGGCTAGATTAGTTGAAATCTGTACCACCTAAAACAGCTTTGGAGTTGTTCAGTACCACTATAGGAATCATGAATGACCACTGCCAGACAGTTTGTGCGGTGGGTTACCCCTAACTGACACGCCCAAAATGCCCCCCCCCCACTACGATAGATTAACCGGCACTGTTCCCGTGGTCAAAAAATTTAAAAATTGTGCCAGGATGCGTAAAATACTAATACCTAGCACGTATGGAAGGGGTGATACTCTGCGGTTTCGGGAACAATTTTTTTTTTTAGCCCCATAAAACGTTTTATGGCCAAAACTCAATTTCTTGTAACCGCAGTTTATCGCCTCTTCCATACGTGCTAGATATTAGTATTCTACGCATCCTGGCTAAAAATTTAATTTTTTAGAACACGGAAACAGTGCCCGCTAATCTAGCCTAGTTGGGGGCGTGGCGTAGAGTGTTTTTGTAACACCCGAAGGTGTAGGTACACTGCTGTACGATTTTCGTGTGGTACACTTTTGAGCTAATCTAGCCTAGTTGGGGGGCATGACATTTTGGGCGTGGAATACCACACCCACCACCGGAAACCCGGCAGACTTACATTCTGATGATACCAGATACGCCCCTGATACATGGTTTTAACTGTAGGATCTGAATACCTATTGCACGTGTAAAAGATATTGTTGTCATAAAAGCCTTTCCGCATGGACTTATTATAAGGTACATACCTTTTATAACTTTATAATAATGAGCTTATCAAATAATATTTTCAGGTGATTCTGGCAGCCTGACCTTTATGAATTATCCATTCAACAGCAATAACTGGCCTCAGACAAGAAAAGTACGATTTAATAGAAAGTTTCCATATACACCAAGTGTAGGTTATGGTGTAACGGCCATGGATACAAGTTACAGATACAATACACGTCTTAGAATACAGGTACAAAGAGTGACGCCAAGTGGTTTTATATTATATTGTAGTGGTTGGCACAATTCTCGTCTTTATCAAGTGGACGTCGCCTGGATGGCTTGTTAAATATTTCTGTGATTGACAGTAATCACGTATTTCAAATAATTTATATAGGACCATATCACTTAATTCATAATACACGTTAATACTACACAAAAAAACAAGTACACGATGAATAACCCTGTTTTCTTCTAAACAATCACTTTTGACTTAAAACAAGAGATTGTCAGTTTCCGGAGGAGATAGGTTTTCGAAACTGTTTTAGAATATCTCACGTCACCAACACGACAAACAATCTGCAAGACGAATTTCCATTTTGATAATGCGAATAGTAAATTGAGAGTTATGTCATACTGGCATTGTATGGTCTATCAGAATTCATTTTTAAAGCAGGATCTTGAATATTTTGGTGGTTCATATTTTAGATTTTATCGACCAAGACAACGTAATTTCTACAGCAAATTGTTCTGGAGTTACTATTATTTATAGAGCTATTATATAGCTGAAATGTAAATATTTTTTGTCAGACTTTTTCTGATTTCTGTAAATTTTGTGATATGTAGTCTCTTACATTAAAACACTTTTAAACAAGTTGCTTTTGTATTAATTATTGCTAATTAAGTGGGTGTCAATTTTCTGGATAGGTTGTTTTCTGGTCATTTGGGTATTTGACCTGTAAACTTGATTTCCAGTGGACTATGAACAGATTCTGCTTTTCTTTGTTACTAACCCTGATCCACCCCCACCGCCCCATTTCTTTCTTTTACTTGGCAAAATCCAGAACATAATAATGCCTTAAAATATTATTTCAACTGGGATGTGTGAAATAACATGCACTTATTTGAGGATTGACAGGTCTGAATACTTTGAATCCAAAATTTTGGGTAAAAGTACTTATAGTCTTAGAAACTCTATAGAGCAAGGGAACTTTGATATTTATATTGGCTCATCAGTGAGTAAGGCTTGTGAACCTGGAGGGTCTATCCCACCGAGAAAGTTTATCAGGACTTTCTGGGATGGTGCTACCATGTCAGTGGTGAAGGAACCTCACAGCTAGTCATTTGAACGAGATGATAAACCCAGGTCCCTTGTACCTGTTGGCATGCTGTAAAAGAACCCTTGACAGTTGGAATTTGAAATAAAAGTAGGCTGTACTGCCACTGTCCAGGCTAAATGTCCCTCGAGGAGCAGTAAAGTAGGACCATAAACCCCATTTAATTTTATTTCATTGACATTTATAACTAATAAATTCAAACTTGACAATAGAACTCGAAATCTAATTCATTAAAATAACAATTTATAATCATAGTGTCCATCTCTAATGACAATATTTTAACAAATTTACATACAACAATTCCATTATCAACATTTATCACATACTTTATAATAAAACCAATAACAATATATTTAATACATTATAAAAATAAAAGTAGTCATAGTATTTTATATTTTTTAAAGTGCTAGTTTGTACTTCATGTAAATAATTCTAATTTTGTAACATGATTTCACAACTCTATCTCATATAGGGTTCATTAAAGAATCATTATGGTTTTCAATATGAAAATAAATGTACTATTTTTTTTTTTCATATGGTACTCACAATAAACATATATTCCGCCAATTATTGAAAATTGAATAATAATTTATGTAACTGATATTTTACAACATTTTATTTTATTATGTACATAAACATTTAAATGATAGCGATTTACTCCTTTTAAATTTTAATGGGTGAAATTATTTATCTTACAAAATGTATTTTAAATTACTGGTACAAAAATATTTTATTATAAATATTACAAATTATTGTGACAATTGCTTTTTATATAAATTCAATGAACCAAAAAAAATCAGAGTTATTAATAAATGCCAATATAACAATAAAGATTCAAATTAAACATCAATTCTAAAACAATAGCTTTATTTTTGTAAATTAATTATGTAAATTATGAACACAAACACGACAGATCACAGTTCAACATGAAAAAACATAAAACTCTGTACAAATAATGGTATATAGTATATCTTTAATAATGGCTGTATAAAAATATAAAATATTTTATAATTATATTTCTTGTATATCATCGCTGGATTTGTTATTATACAACAGTATCACTATGGGCAGATTTCCATTTGTTATTTTACATTATGCATCATTATGGATGGATTTGTTATTATAAAACAATACAAGTATTTTTTGTTTACAGAATAAATTGTGAACAAGATATAAAATCCATGAAGTTTAAATAATGGTAATGAAGTTCGGATTACATTTTTGATTTACATATTTCTACTGTGTCAATGGATGTATTTATAATTGTAAGTCAGTAAGTCACTATGGATGGATTTGCAATTAAACATCACTGTGGGCAGTTCTTATAAACACAAAATATAAGTACATGTATGTATGATTGGACTTGTTATAAAATTAACACAGTTTATAAAATGGTGCAACTCTTGGATTGAACTTCATCTTTATGAATGGAACCTTTAGAATGGGAGCGTTTGTGTTTGGATTTTTTCTTGTTTTTGGGGGTCGATTCCTGAGATTTAGTCTGAGCACTTGAACCATTCGATAATGAACTACTGTCTGATTTAAGTATGGATTTGGATGTATTCTCTGGTGATTTACTTTTTGTTTCTAAATCTTGCAATGATCGGAACAAGTTAAGAGGTTCAATATCAGCACCCTGGGCCAGAAGTTGATCTTCTTTCTCCAATAACTGTAATGCTTCAGTTATCAACAACTCTAACATATCATTAGTAAATGGATGCTCCCTGATAATTGTAGCACTAAAATCTAACTGAATCATATTTACTGAAATAAAAAAAGGACAATATTACTATTTGATAATCATAGAATTCTTCAACTTTCTTTGAGCTTAAGTTCGAAATTGTCTTGTTGGATGTTGAAGTGGGTGGTCCCTGTAGCCAATAGTTGGACTTACTTTTACCATTATAATAATTGTCTGAGCTGTATTCTTGTACATGTAGATTATTCTATATTTTGTCAAGCTTTGTTGCTTAGCTTGATATTTGAGAATGCTAGTTAGTCTGTCCTAAGAAAATATTGAAAAGTTCTGGGTTTGTTTGGGTTTTCTTTTAAAATGTATTTTTGTCCGATCATCTACATTTTTTATGTCATTGCTTTTTAATTCAATTTTGGTTATTTCATGATTTGATAGTAACTAATAAAGCACATTTTCAATATTTCATTGAAATGTTTGTGTTGTTCTATAAATAATAATAATGAATAATATATTTACATGCTGGTGGTAATATTACAATAGGATAAAATCCTCCATCTGGTTGATATATAACACGAGCTAACTGTACATCTCTATTAATAGTTAAATAACATATAACTAATTGTTCATCACTAACATCTATAGATGTATCTAGATATAATAAACCCCATCCAACTCTATCACCTTCTTTAACACTTGTATCTACTGAAATAACACATACATATCATATAACAGATAATCTTTATTGAGATATATTTATGATTTAACATGATTTTTTAAATGATAAGTGAAGCTTCTGGACTGATAACAAGATTTATGGAAATCGTAAAAAAAAAAAATCAATACAGGTCATACTTTTACTAAGCTGAGTAAATGTAATGAAATATGGTTTAACGCCCTGCTTTTATGAACCGAACATACTAATGAATATGGGCATGAGGGAATATTTGCCCGGACACGGCACTATGAATACGAACAGCGGCACTACAGCCTACTTGGAATTTTAACTGTTAAGGGTTTTCTAATATGCAACGTGTACACAGGACCTTGGGTTTCCATTCCATCTGAACGACTAGACACTGTTCCTTGCCACACCATCCATCTGCCAAGAGGAAACCACACCAGAAAACCCAGAGGAACCTTCTCAGTCAACACCAAGCTGAGTAACTTATAAATATTTTGCAGTTATGGCCTTTGGATTAATAAGGATATGTAATCAAAGGAAGTTATATCAGCAATCTTCACATATCAATAATTATCTGTTTTAGGTTTTCTTCATAGCAAAACTTTATTTAACTGTTCATTTTGAATAGGACAAAGTTGGCTTAAATTATAAAACTTTGAATACATTACCATTATTAAATCCTGAAAATCGTATTAAATCCTGTTTAAAGTTTGAAACTGATGGTGGATCAAATGGACTGGGTGTAGTTAATCCTATTATAGGTAGAGCTGTACTGGTGGAAGAAGTATGAGGCATGACAATCTCAAAATGGTTAAATTCTGGAAAAAGAACCAAAAATAATGCCTGAAGAAAAATCATTAACACAGTCAAACAATATTAATGATATAGTTTAAATGTCAGTGCATACCGCAACCATGGCAACATTTCTGTTTTACCAGCGGCTGCCAGGCAGGATACGCCCACATTTTCGAGAGATGGATAGAGAACAAGCTAACACGAAAGTGATTTTTCCTACAATCAAGGGCCATAATTCAGGAAATTACAATTCGATATGCACAAATATCGAAAGGAACTGAGATCTTTGTGTTATAAACTTACATTTCAAGTTTCAACAAAATCGGATAAAAATTGTGACCTCTATAGGGTCCACAACCTTGATATACCATATTTTTACGCTATTTGAAAACGAACGGCAGCCATGTTGTCTGTCAATTTTGGGCCGATTTTCACGAAATTCGAACTCAGTCGTCCTTAGGGTGTAACGGTGATAAAATAATAAGTTTTTTTAAATCGGATAAAAAATATGACCTCTATAGGGTCCCCAAGCTAAAAACGTGATTTTTCGTACAATCAGGGGCCATAATTCAGGAAGTTACGGTCCGATATGCGCGAATATCGAGAGGAACCAAGATCATTAGGTTATAAACTTAAATTTCAAGTTTCAACAAAATTGGATAAAAATTGTGACCTCTATAGGGTCCACAACCTTGATATACCATATTTCTACGCTATTTGAGAACGAACGGCAGCCATTTTGCCTGTCAATTTTAGGGCGATTTTCACGAAATTCGAACTCAGCCGTCCTTAGGGTGTAACGGTGATATAATAATACGTTTATTTAAATCGGATAAAAATTATGACCTCTATAGGGTCCACAAGCTAAAAATTTGATTTTTCGTACCCAGGAAGTTACGATCCGATATGCGTGAATATCGAAAGGATCCGAGATCTTTGGGTTATAAACTTACATTTCAAGTTTCAACAAAATCAGATAAAAATTGTGACCTCTATAGGGTCCACAACCTTGATATACCATATTCTTACGATATTTGAGAACGAACGGCGGCCATTTTGTCTGTCAATTTTGGGCCGATTTTCACGAAATTCGAACTCAAACGTCCTTAGGGTGTAACGGTGATATAATAATACTTTTTTTTAAATCGGATAAAAATTATGACCTCTATAGGGTCCACAAGCTAAAAACGCGATTTTTCGTACAATCAGGGGCCATAATTCAGGAAGTTACGGTCCGATATGTGCGAATATCGAGAGGAACCGAGATCATTGGGTTATAAACATACATTTCAAGTTTCAACAAAATTGGATAAAAATTGTGACCTCTAAAAGGGTCCACAACCTTGATATACCATATTTCTACGCTATTTGAGAACGAACGGCAGCCATTTTGCCTGTCAATTTTAGGGCGATTTTCACGAAATTCGAACTCAGCCGTCCTTAGGGTGTAACGGTGATATAATAATACGTTTTTTTAAATCGGATAAAAATTATGACCTCTATAGGGTCCACAAGCTAAAAATTTGATTTTTCGTACCCAGGAAGTTACGATCCGATATGCGTGAATATCGAAAGGATCCGAGATCTTTGGGTTATAAACTTATATTTCAAGTTTCAACAAAATCAGATAAAAATTGTGACCTCTATAGGGTCCACAACCTTGATATACCACATTCTTACGCTATTTGAGAACAAACGGCGGCCATTTTGTCTGTCAATTTTGGGCCGATTTTCACGAAATTCGAACTCAAACGTCCTTAGGGTGTAACGGTGATATAATAATACTGTTTTTTAAATCGGATAAAAATTATGACCTCTATAGGGTCCACAAGCTAAAAAAGCGATTTTTCGTACAATCAGGGACCATAATTCAGGAAGTTACGGTCCGATATGTGCGAATATCGAAAGGAACCAAGATCTTTGGGTTATAAACTTACATTTCAAGTTTCAACAAAATTGGATAAAAATTGTGACCTCTATAGGTCCACAACCTTGATATACCATATTCTTACGCTATTTGAGAACGAACGGCGGCCATTTTGTCTGTCAATTTTTGGGCCGATTTTCATGAAATTCGAACTCGGTCGTCCTTAGGGTGTAACAGTGATACAATAATAGTTTTTTTTAAATCAGATAAAAATTATGACCTTTATAGGGTCCACAAGCTAAAAACGCGATTTTTCGTACAATCAGGGGCCATAATTCAGGAAGTTACGGTCCGATATGCGCGAATATCGAAAGGAACCGAGATCTTTGGGTTATAAATTTACATTTCAAGTTTCAACAAAATCGGATAAAAATTGTGACCTCTATAGGGTCCACAAGCTAAAAATGTGATTTTTCGTACAAACAGGGGCCATAATCCATGAAGTTTCGATCCGATACATGCCAATATCGAAAGCAGCCGAGATCTTTTGGAGATAAACCTATATTTCAAGTTTCGTTAAAACCGGATAAGAATTGTGACCTGTAGAGTGTCCACAAACAAATTGTGGACGGACGGACGGACAGGGGCGACGGCATAATACGTCCACATGAAAATGTGGGCGTAAAAAAATTAACCATATCATGTATGCAAGGGAGTGAATACAGTAAGAAGTTTCAAACAAATGTACATGTTTGCTACAATAATAGTTCAATGAAGGACTAAATAGACATTTTGGTCATAATGCCTCCCCCTAATAAAGGTCACCTGCGTATAAAAATGTCAGTTTCAACAATTCTCTTGGATGACTTTTATATACAAGTTTAACTGTAGTTCAGTGATTAAGTTTAATTACAGTACTTACCTTGATTTAAACTGACAGGTGATTGAATGGCAACAGGAGAAGAATGATGTTTAACATGTATTATATCTTTATTATAATCTATAACAGATCCAGGTGGAAGACACCAATTCTCTAAATTATCCTGTAGTAATAGTACATAACAAATGTGTATGATGTGGGCACAATCAGCCAAACAAAATCAGTTAATCTTCCATCAGGAATGGTAATTATATGAGCGAAATTGATATAATGAGGGTTTTTTTTTTTACTTTTAATGTAGACAACACTTTTAGATTTGATTATGATCTGCCAGTCATGAGTAGAGCAAGGGGAATGATAGTCTGGCATGTTTCAAACCATTAAATTGTCTCAAATCAATTGCAAGGTGTATTGGTCTTGAAAAACAGCATCGACTGTGTTATATGCAGTGTCAAATTCTTACAATTGGTCATGAGAAAAAACATTCTTTACAGTCTGGATTAATATTCACAGAGGAAGAAGCATTGACCACTTCTGCTGTAGTGATTGATACCATGGGTATGAGTTGTGGATGTACAATACAGAAGGGGAGGTAACTACTACTATAATGTATAAACACAGAACTGATCAATCTGAAATAAAATAATTCCAATTGTCTAAATGTATGTATTTCAAAGATCATTAGGACAACAGATATTTGTCTCTGTTACACAATCTGTTTCTTAGAACTATTCCACAGTCTGGGCATGGGGAACTTGAATATATCCAGATGAAACAAAATAATTGTTATTCTGACTATATAACGTCACTGTAAATAATTGGATTTTGATTGTTTCCTCGTATAATTTCATATACTTACAATAGCTGGTTTTGGTGGAGCTGTATTCTGATTCTGCCAGCAGACATCAACAACAACCTTATAACCATTACCACATAATGTAACAGTAGGAAGAAACTGTGAATGATCAGATTCACTGAGGTAACGACATCCAACAGTTCTGTTATTCTTATTAAATACAACAACAGAAGTATTTTTACCAACATATTCTAATCGTACTTCTGCTGTATCACCTGTAATAACAAATATAATTCCCCTATATGAGGTGGGTTTCAACCAGTCTGCAGTCCATGGTCCCATTTCATAAAGCATGCATGAGGACTCAGGGGAAACCCATGAGGTTAAACCAATCGGCCACCCAACCGCCCAAATTGTTACAGATTGTTACAGAGAGAGAGAGAAATGGAGTTTAATGGCCACCCGACACAAATTAGGTCATTTCGGGACTAACATATGGTTCAATTTTATTTCAATAATTCGCTTGCGCGTAGGGGTCTTTAGCAGTGGGAGGAAACCAGAGGACCCAGAGAAAACCCATGAGGTTGGACAGGCGACCCTACTCCTTGTCACATACAACCGGGATATCGAAACCACGCCAGTTGACTCAATGACAGACCTTATGATACAACACACACATGCTAACCATTTGGCGATCCAACCTCCCAATATTGTTACAGAACTCAAATCCATTTGCAATTCTGCAAAGTATAATATAATGATTGTCAATAAACAATAAATAACTTGATTATGACTGACCTGCAAAATATCTTTCTCCAGTAACATAGCTATCATTTCTACCATTAAAATATAATTTACCATCACGTGACAGCCAACCTACAGAATTCTTTACTTTTCCTGGTTGTTTCTTTAGAGGTAAATTATTGTCTGCTATCCCTATACCTATGAATGAATCTTCATCTGAAAAATTAAACAATGTACTCCAATACTACATTCAACTTGTTGAATATCAGGCAACAGGAATCGTAACCACGATTCATGACTGACACACACATCTTTGTCAAGGCAATAAATCTTTGAAATGAAATATAGTGTATTTGCCAATTTCTGTCAATGTAACCATCAAGGTCACTAACTATACACCAACTTTTTAATGTGGTTGTGCGTTGTGTGTATATCATTATGAAACCAAAATGGCTGTTAATTTTCAATCTTTTTCAAATTTGTATGAGTTGCTTAACTTATTCAAAAGGAAGAATACTATTAACTTCAATAGCTATATCCCTTTGTTATGCAGTTTGTTGTTCATATTGCTTTTTAGGGCACTAACTATAGTTATTCCCCTTTGTACATGGTTATGTTGTACATTCTTTAAAATCTGTCCATTGCCACAGGTATTGACAACCCACTACCATAATAATATGATCCTATATGAATTACTGGCATATAAAACAGACATGTAGATTGGTTATCTTTTGACAATATCTATTTTTGACGATCTAATCCACACTAAAATATACTAAGACTGATTAGTTAACATTTAATTAAGAAAAAAAAAAAAAAATCAGTGGTAGATGTTTTCCCGACATGAATTCAATCTGATTAAAAAGTTTATACCTTATAGGTGGTGAATTTTCAATTTATCATTGAACCATTTTTGGGCTAATATTCCTTTTAGATATTCAACTTTTACAATATTGTATTTTACAAAGGACAGACCAACAGAAATGATGATGTGTACTATGGGCTAAAATCTCAGTGTCCTAACAAGCAAAAATATTTTGCAGCATCTTTGATGTAATCTTAGAAATCAATCTAGTCCCGCCAAAATTCTAAAATTTCCAAATCAATGTGCCCCCACCACATCGCTATAGGGCTGAACAACTTCGTTTATATAAATCTGATAACCAAAAACATACCTACTAAATTTGGTAAAAATTCATTTTTTGGTTCTAGAGAAATTATGTGTAGATGTATACACATTTTTACCTTTTGGGTGACTAGATGACAGAATGATTACCCAAAATGAAATTTTCCATGATTTTGTTATAAATTGTAAGATCCACACTGAAAGATTCTAGATCATTCAACTACTTGATTGAAAGATGACAAAGTAATAGCATACGTACTTAAACATTGGACTTCGATGAAAAAATTACTCTGTACTACTGTAAGTGGCTTTAGGAACTGAATAGCATGAATTCCCATCGTATTGGCTGGAAGAGTGAGTCTACACATGTCTTGTTTAACTTCAATATCTATGCTTTCTGATGTTCTGAACATGCTCCTAGTTATATCTATAATAACAAATTTTATAATCAGCAGATAGCAGTGCAGATTAACTTAGGCTTGATAAAAATATATAATAACTTGTTTAAGCAAACTTTCCAATTATAAGCCTATTTGACAATAATAAATATTAAGTCTTTAATAACCAAAAACAAATAATTTAAAGATGTAATGCTTTGTTAAAATACCTCTAGTCATTTGGTCATTACTTAACGCCTTGGTAGCATCTAAAAGATGATTTTCCATATCATTCATTTTAACCATTGGATATGGATTTGATATAACATCTATACTTGCTTTAGAGGCTGTAAAATAATAAAAAAATCCAGCCTAGTATCATAAACAAATGCCAACAGAAAGAGAAGTGGAGGATTGGGAAACTCTTAAGCAACTGGTACTAAATCAATCAGTGGGGGGAGGGGGGGGGGGATTTCAAGTATGAGAACACAATAGTAAAGGTTTTGTTATTATATATTATTATATTATAAGTTATTATCCATTGGTGATGTTGTTGCCAACCAATGTGTGACAAAAACATAGTAACATGTAGACCAGTGTTTTATTTAATTAAATCATTTTCCGCAGACTCTCTATAGGAATTTCATGTTTAATATTTCACCGAAAACTAACCTGTATTTTTTAATATAACAAGTGGATAAAATCCACCTTCAGGCTGTAATATAATCTGTTTATGAGCTATCATTGTGTTAATAGTTACATAACATAGAACAAGCTGTTGACATAACGGATCAAAATCATCTTTCTCTTTTTCACATGGTAGGTAACATATACCCCAACCTAAATGATGTCCAACTTTCAGATAGCCATCTACAAAAATTAGGAGTAAAGCAAACACAAATTATAGCATTGTGAATGGATTACACCCTTTTCAGTCGTGAAATGGACCGGCTGGGGAACTTACTAGTCATGCTATAAATTTTGAAGAATTTAATCATAAATTACAATAAATACAGTTAAATTAATAGATTGTATGCATAAAAATACTTAAAGATACATTATGGGAGATTTTTACAGAATTGGCCATTCTTGCTATAACAGTTCAAAAGTAGATGATGAAAGAAGAATATTTTGAAAATTTCAGTCAAATTACTTTATTTTGAACATAGTTATCATCGTTGTAAATGTGCCTTCACCGTGGCTGATCGTTTGATTGACAGGCGTTAATTCCACCTACATATCTCGATTATCAAGTAAAGTTTTCAATGACAGGCGGAAACGCTCTACAGCGGCCTCGCTAAGTACACTCTATCATTTAGCCTCGATCTAACTGACGTATTCTCATCAGGATGCGCCATATTTGAATTAATTGATAAGTGAAATCCTATTTAAATCCGAGCTGTAGCCGAGCCATCCGTGGGTCTACAGAGTTGATTTTGGGCTTGTTGTTTAAATAAAGATCTAATTTATAATTTCTATAACATCTGAAGCCTAAATTAAGACTTGCAATAATCAGATTTTGCTCTTGCATAATGTATGTTTAATAATACTTAATAATATATATAACAAATTGGGATAATGTTCAAAACTTGGTAACAATATCTTGTAAACCTCAAGGTAAACAGAATACATCAGAAATTGACAAAAGTTTGAAGACAAAGACCAGGATTATACAGGTACTAAAATGATCTAAACTGTGTTTACATTAAATTAGAAATAGTCTGAAAATAGTGCCCAAATAATCCATTTTTTTTCAGTACTTTTACCAGGTGTTATTTATCCATTCCTGTCAAATTAACAATTTAAGAAATAATTATATATATATATATATAATTCACATACCATTTGCATTCCATCTTAAATAGTCTCTTAGTAAATTGTTTGTTGGTGCTGGTTTGATAGGACTACAACTTGAGATCGCTATTGATGGCACTACACCTTTATCAGAACATTCTCGTATAATGACTTCAAAATGACTTAATGCTGTAAATATAATTAATACAATTCATTTGAAACCCAAGACATAGCTTCATACTTACAACATTACTTGTTAAACAAAAGCAGTAATGAGGGCAAATCTGGAATATATGTGTCTATACTTTATATTTTCTCTGCCACTTTAAACAATAGTTTTTGTATTATAACTACCTGGTGAAAGTGGAACTGGGCTTTGTATTGTTACTTCTTCTTCTACTGATTTCATTATAAACATATTTGAAAAGGGGTCATAGGTTACATCTGAGGACGATATCCAATGGTTCATATCAGTCTTTAAATAAAATATCAAATAAAAATACAATGGTAATGTTCGAACACTTTATTTGTAGATAGAAAAAAGCAAAAAGCTATTAGATTGGTTAAATTTTTTGTTAAATTCTGTATGATTTTGAAAGATATAATTATTTGAGTTTTAAAGAACAGATAAAATTTGTTAACCAAATTTCACTTTCAAATAAAGTTATTAAAGAAATGGATAATGAAAAAACCATAACAATTTTGACCTGAAATTTGCTTTGGACAATCCGATAGTTATTTATTATTGAAAAGAGATCTTACCATATCAAAAACAGGCACATCACTGACTGCATCAGGCCACATCAGACCTAAATCTACAGGGCCATTTTCCAGAGATATTGTTGGTAGCAGATTATTGGGATCACTTTCAAATAAAAACCTAAAAAAAGAATATAATGTAATATTGACTTGCTTCAATTAATTATCACAATGCATTCAGTGATTTATTTAATTTGTACTACAATAAAACTAACAAGTCACACTTACCGTGTTGCAACCGGTCTTCCATTTTTAGAAAACACCACAGTACATTTTGAGCTACCAAAATGTGTCACTTGAACACCAAATATATCTCCTAAAAATAAATCAATATATTATTAACTATTTTTAAACTTGAATACCACCTTATAAAAAAACCTATCATAAAACGTATTTAACTACTGTACAGTTTAATCTGTTTAACTACTGTCAAAATTTTCAGGCCTTTCATTACTTGGCACAAATTAAATAGTTCTGAATTGGGCTGTTTTCTACAATAAAGTATTTGCAAATCTATAACCAGACAGAAGAATTCTTTCTTATCACAAATATAAATTTTTGGTAATAATAATGAAGCTACATCAATGTACAGAATAATCACAGAAAAAAAGGATTCTAGGTGCCACACCATTAGAGTCCTTCATTAGAATATTTATTAGAATATTCCACATGTTTTTTATACCCCAGAAAAAATAACTGTACCAGTACATATATTGTGTTCCAGAAATAGTACATTATGTTTCATTGATGTAATTCAATCACCATTCTAGAGATCTGTAAGGATTTGAAAAATGTCTGGTTAAAAAAATCTATAAAACCTACCTATACCAAAACCTTCTCCCTTTGTATTTGCTATTTCTCTGTGTGATGTATAACATCTTCCACTATCACTGTGATAACCAACTGTGTTATTCCAGTTACCTGGATGAGTACCTTCCAAAATGTCAGGTCCAGCAATACCAAGAGTTATTTTGCTATTGATTGCTGAAATATGTACACCCATCTTTAAGCCCATGTATACATGGAATTGGTTTTAGTACTATTTACAAGATAATGACATTCAGAAAACTTTTAATTACTGGTAGGTTAAGATAAACTACGGTATCCTGTTGGATAATTAATGTGTTATTTCGAACTGGTAAGATTAAAACCAGTAAATTTTCAATTTGGCAGAATATGTCACTGTTAGTCTATTTCCTAATTTCAGGGGCAATAAAAACCTGTCAGAATCGGAATTTCAGTATTTCAACTGGTTTTTAAAAAACTCCAGTAAGTTTATATAAGAAATATCTCGCACTCTGGCCTCTAGAGTAATTACCAGGTTTTGAGGAAAAAGGGTAATAAATCTGCAAACAATTGATTTTGGACACATGAGCAGGGGCGGATTGGGACCCGGAAACCGCCTCGGGCTCCCGTGTCGGGGCGGCCCCTTTTACTAACCGCGGAGCCCGGATGGGGGGGGGGGGGGTCCAGGTGCTCTTCCTCGGGAAAATTTTGAAAAATGAACCCCAAATATGCGATTTGGTGATTATAATCTCTGTCAAATAATATATCTCATAAATCGATTAATTTAACCCAAAACCCCGAACTGCCTGTAATTTACAACCACAAACAGGGTGCAGGTGACTTAATAATTAGTAAATTTGCGGGCGACAGTGTCGGGTGAATCCCATGAAATTTTCGGATGAAATTCGGATTCCCCATTGCAGGATTCCGAATTCCGGCCCACACCCAGCACATCCGGCCCAGAAAGTCTATAATACCAGCCCATTCCAGACTCCAGTGATGGCGTGGCGGCCCGTTAAAGCCACCGACCATATACAACATGATCATCATCGCTCCATGGCCGGTCCAATACCCCCCCCCCCCCCCATATAATGTTCAGCAGAAAAAGGTTTTTTTAGACGAATTTGACAAAATTATTTTTTTCATTTTTTGTCCGACCGGCCCAGAAAGTCTATTATACCAGCCCATTCCAGACTCCAGTTAAAGCCACCGACCATATACAACATGATCATCATCGCTCCATGGCCGGTCCAATAACCCCCTTCCCATATAATGTTCAGCATAAAAAGGTTTTTTAGACGAATTGGACAAAATTATTTTTTTCATTTTTTGTCCGACCGGCCCTTCGGGCGATCGCCCAATGGCCCAATCCGCCCCTGCACATGAGGGTTCACCTCTTCAGCTACTCAAACTAATCCAGCAAGAAGTTTTTTCAAATTTCAAAATCTTTTACTTTAAGGCTATAACAAGAGCAACAACTTTGCTACTGGTTGATATTGTCACCAAGGTCTGGCAAAACCTTATAATTACCTTTAATTATATACACGATTTAATTCAAATCTTGATTGGTTTAATTAATTATTTGGCTACCATACTAATTTGATTGTAAATCTATGTTTTATTGTGTATATATTCCCTATGATTTATGATGTAACATAGGCATTATATTGCCATGGCCTTAGTCATATAGGGTAGGGTATTTCAATATTAAGATTTTGACTTATTTATTACTTATGTATTTGTCATATGATGTTGGCAGCATGGCCTTAATCATATTCAAGGTAGCACAAAAGTTGAAGGATTTAATTAATTATTTTGTTACATCATTTTAGTTGAATATATTATTATGACTTATTGTAAACAGGCATATTTTTTCTTTTATATTATATAGATCATGTTAATGTTGGCTGTATGGCCTTAATCAGGCATATGGCAGTATCCCAGATCTAGATGACATGGACGCCATCTTTTCCGGTGGGAACCATGTCACCACGGTCTGTCAAGACCTTATAATTACAATTCTATGGTTCAATTAATTAGGGGTTACCATAAAATTGATATGACATCTTAGAGCATAGTCCTCTTAAGTAGTGGTCTAATAAGAATGAGACTTAAAGTAGCGAAGTCTCTAACTCAATATCACCCGAAGTCTTACACGTTGAAAACACAAATTATTTGTCAATTCAAATCAACATTGATGTTGTTATCTTACCGGGAAAAGGTGGGCTTCTGATATCCAATATTTGAGACAAAATAAACATTTTACCATTGGTACACGAATCGTGTACCATAGTAGTACGTTTCAGCGTCATTTGTAACAAGTGACCAGAAAGAACAAGGCTAGACATATTCTACAACTCATGTCAAACGGCGACGCCATAACTTATCTGGAGAGCATGCGCAATAGACTGGAATAACCAGATGCTAGAAATTTCTATTCGGTTAATTGAGACTCATGCCGTATTTCGCTGGACATAACTGATTTGAAATTAGAGTAAAAACGGAAACAATTGAATGTAAATCAGTTCATATACAATCAGATTACATTATTATATGCGTTGCGACCCATTTGGCTCAATTTCTAGGCCCCAAATGTTAGCGATTTAGCTCCTTTAATATAGTGTGTTTCAATCAAAATTGTAATATTTTAATCTATGTACAGCTTCAGATTTATAAACCCATTTCCTATGTCTATAATCTTCTTTGTATTTTTTGTTGTGTTTATGTAATTATCATCCGGAGTTTATGGACCTACTAGTCCAACCTTCCACGATAGGTTGTATGTTCAATCTAGTTGGGGGTGTAAGATTGAACATACAATAATTCAACAACTCACTTCTTCTTCGTATAACCTTATATTCGGTAACAATACTTAAACAATAATAAAATATATATATATAGTAGAATAGTTAATTAAAGCTGCTCTTTGGTAATACATAATTGAAATTAAAGATGGCAAAATAAAACTACATTTTTATGCCAATGTTTTCACCGCGATAGAAGCTCTTCTGGCATTTATTAAACAATAGTCTATGACGTCACAATGTCATAGTTACATTATTATACAGGCAAGGGTAGTTTTTTCTTAGCCTACAGACTACAAATATTCAATCCCACCACAGTCTAAATTTTATTTAATTTAATTAAATTATTCTCTTATTTAGATTTAAGTTTCAGGTGGTACTTCTCAATAAAGTAGCTTTCTTTTGCCTCCAAGAGATCGTTGTTTTTGCTATTAATTCTATATAAAGGAAAAACACTAAATTTGCCCCCACCACATACTTCAAGATGCTCACTTAGCGGGATCATCCTGTATTTTGGTTGAAGTATGTGCTGTCGATGGAGGTTCATTCTCAACCTGAACATCATTTGGGTCTTTCCTATATATACCTTCCCTTGCATCCCGGACACGCACATAGTTCGATTGGCAATTCCTTGCCTGTTTGATATAAAATGCATTATCATCATTAATTTTTATGGATGATCCCTCAATGATAATGTCACAGGTTTTACACTTTGAATTACCACATTTTGAAACTACTGGAATTGAAGCAACTGAATCATATTTAGATGTTATAATCCTAGCTAGATTGGAAGGTTGCTTTAGACTGTTGATTATATTTGTTTTTCTCAATATTTTATCCATTGTTTGGCTATTTTTAAGGATATGGATGTAATTTTCAATGATAGATTTCCCATTTTCCTGGGATGGATTGAATGTAGTAACTAAAGCAACGTTCCTTTTATCAGAGTTTATAGGAACTTTAGGTTGTCATAACAGGCTTTGGCCCAGACTCAATGCTCTTTGGTTAGCATCGTCTATTAATTTACCTGGATATTTTTGTTTTAATAAGAAACCTTTTAGTTCCTGTAGTCTCTGAACTTTGACATCTTGATTGGACACAATTGTACAAATTCGTCTGGCTAAGTTATATGGGATGTTTCGTTTCATATGAGGTGGGTGACAAGAATTAAAATTTAGATATTGATGTGTATCGTTTTTTTTGTAATACACATCAGTTTCAATAGAGCCGTTCGCGTGTAGCTTAACTGTCACATCCAGAAAATTTAATGTGGATTGACTGAATACTGTCATCTAAACTATTTAACATTTTATAAAGCTCTGAGATGATTTCTTGAGATACTCTGAGTATCACAGAACAATCATCTAAGAACCGTTTCAATGAAGTCTTAATCAAATCACCAAATTCATTGCCAAACGTTGTTGTCACCCTCTCATACCATATTTCCTCAAGATAACCTAAAGTTAAAGTAGCATAGGTATAATAGGGCCAACTTTCGTACCCATAGCGACTCCCTTGATTAGTGTATAGTATAGGCCATTAAAGAAAAATAGGTTATTTGATATCACAAGATCTAGTGCACCCAGGATAAATGAATTTGAAAACCAGTCTGGTATGAGGTCTGCGTGGTTGTTTAGCCAATATTTGACAGCTTTTAGTCCCAGATCTTTGCGTATATTGTTATATAAATTAAATTAAATTAAGGAAAATATATCCTTGCCTGGATAATAATGTAACTATGACATTGTGACATCATAGACTATTGTTAATTGAATTATTGTTTAATAAATGCCTGAAACGTTAGTATAAAAATGTAGTTTTATTTTGCCATCTTTAATTTCAATTATATATATATATATATATATAAATATATATATACACACACACATACAATAATGACCCATAGGCTAGGTAACTTAATAAGGAACAGCATCTAAAAAATAACTTATCGGAGACCTGCCCTTCAGTATGTTCTGCTGCCTGTCCGTGGTCAACTACCGCCTTCTTCTCAATATCCAATTTTCAGGACTTTTATACCTTTAGCTTTGTTTCTTAAGTAACTCTAACTTTATAATTCTTAATACATTAATGTCTACTGGATTAACTGAACAATAGATAATAATTTATGAAACAATGTCTCTCTAATATAATTACAGAGTTGACTTTGATAAGGCTTCTGGCTAATCTGTAATGGCTGTAGGCCCTCCTTGCAAAAAGTTTTGCCCCACCTGTGACCAGCGGCTGCCAGGCAGGATACGCCCACATTTTCAAGAGATGGATAGAGAACAAGCTCAAGGGCCATAATTCATGAAGTTACAATTCGATATGCGCAAATATCGAAAAGAACCAAGATCTTTGGGTTATAAACATGCATTTCAAGTTTCATCAAAATCG